CAAATAATCAAAATTCTAGAGTGTTCTATTTATTTGAAATCAGCGTTTCCTCTACTTGTTTTGTATAAGTAACTATTCATGTGGTAATCTTCAGATTCAATTCTTCTATTCAAAACAAATACGTGAACTTTTTTCACTTTAAAGGAAAACCCACGGCACCTGGTGCACCGGAGCCACTAGAGGTTACACATGACTCGATCACACTGTACTGGAGAGCACCCGAAGATGATGGCAAATGCGAAATCACCGAATACGTGCTCGAATATCAAGACGTTAAAGAGGAGAGGTAAGAAATTGTAGTCGCATTTCAACGATAACATACCACCGAAACTAACTTAATTCCGTTACGTTTGCAGGTGGATCGAGATACGCAAAATCAAAGACACAACATACACTATAAGCAAACTGAAAATCGATACGGAATATGTATTCCGCGCGATCGCTGTAAATGATGTTGGCCCATCACCACCTTCACCGCTCTCGCCACCCATACGCCTAGTAGCCGAAGTCAGAAAGGAAAAACCAACCGTACAAGAACCACTGCAAGACATTGTGACCGAATTAAACAAGGAAATTACATTGTCTTGTGTATTCGGTGGCATACCAGAGCCCAAGGTTACATGGAAGAAAAACGGAACGGTTATCACATCGAAGACTATGCGATATGAGAATCGTGTATCCAAATACACAATTGAGAAGACAACAATTGAGACTGAAGCTACGTACACATGCGTAGCTGAAAATGACATGGGCAGCGTGGAGACTTCGTGTAGAGTTACACTGCAAGAAAAGCCGACGATTGACATCGATGAGAAGTATCTTGCACAGAAAATACGTGCAGGCACTACTTTGAACATTCCGGCCACAATTCGTGGTTATCCACAACCGAAATGTAAATGGTATAGGGAGACCACAGAACAAACGACCACAACGGAGCGTGTGACAATTGAAACTACAGAGACCACCTCGATTTACAAATTGGAAAAGGTGACACGTGAAGATTCGGGACGTTACAAGATTACAGCTACCAATACAACTGGCACAGCAACAACGGAGTGTACAATTGAAGTGATCGATAAGCCAAGTCGACCACGATCACTCGAGATCAAAGAAATGAAGAAGGATGCAATTACATTGGAATGGACGCCACCAGTTGATGATGGTGGTCTGGAGTTGAATAAGTATGTGCTGGAGAAATGTGATTTGCAAAACAATCTCTGGATGAAAGTAGCTGATTTGGAAAAAGACATACACTCCTATGCAGTACAAAAACTTTCCATGAACTCACAGTATATGTTCAGAGTCGTGGCAGCTAATCCTGTTGGCATATCTGAACCAGCTGAGAGTGAGACGGTGACGATTACAAAGAAATTCGGTAAG